TGCCGGAGTCGTTCAAGGAGTCGTACGACGCGTACGCGTTGATGTTCGCGATGGTTGCGGCAATACTGATGCACGCACTGGACGTGTCCATGGGCCTGATGTGTGGAGTTGTTGGACGGCCGTTGTGGGCGTCGATAAGGCCGTGTTCTGGCGGTAAGGTGTGCTGGGCCTTTAAGCAGTGCGTTATTACCTCCACATGGTAGCCGCGGAATGTTCTTGCTCACATCGTACCCTCCCCCGGAAGAGTGAGGTCGCCGTGGCAAACTCAACTGGCACCTTTTTTTCTCAGACTTCTCATCCACCAGTGAGGCCAACACGCGCACACACCCCATGTGTTCTTTTTCATAGCATTCTTCTTTGTTGCCCCCACGCATACTCTCCGTTGCGGCACAGCAAGCTAAGAAGGCGATAAGAACAAGCACGTGATGAAGCGCTACCTGCTCTACGCCACGCTTCTGCTCTGGTGTACCAACAGGTGTCTTGCCTCGATTGTGGACCGATGCACTTTCGATGATATGATGAAGCAACACAACGGCATGAAGGGAATTCAGGTCGTGCATGAGTCGCCCCTCGCAGGCGAGGAAGCGGGACAGGCATACACCGTCGTGTCGGACAACTGGGAACCGATCCGCATCAGGACATTCACGGAGGACCTCGGCGATCCGACAAGGTACTGCATAGAGTGGGGAGAGAGGTGTGTGAAGTGTCCCGGATGGATGAAGATAGAGATTAATCGGTGCACTGCCTATGATGTCTTAACCGCTGAAATGAAGGCTGCCCTCATTAACGAGGTTATCCCCATGGCAATCAAACTGCACGCAGATCGCCTCCTTGTCCAGAGGGCGAAGACTCCGTTGATTGTGCCTCCATTCCCCGAGGGCAGTTTGTGCAGCAACTTCTCGGTTCCCGCCAGTCACCGAAGTGAGGGTGTTCCCGACGCTGACATGGTGATTTACGTGGCTGCTTTTCCAAGGGAGCCATTCTCCTTTCCGTGTGCTATGAATGAGAAAAGGCGCCCAGTTGTTGGCGTGATGAGTTTCCCCCCACACGCGATCCCTGACAAACTTCTCGCCGTTCGCGTCGCGGCGCACGAAATGGCGCACCTTCTTGGATTCGGCTACGAGCAGATGATGGCGCTCAAGATGGTGTCTAGCAAGACTGTTGTGCGTGACAAGAAGTCGGTGGTGGTGGCGGAGGTGATATCCCCAAAGACCGTTGAACAGGCACGGAAGCACTACGGCTGCGAGGAACTTACAGGTGTGCCGCTGGAAGACATGCCGAATATGGCGTCTCACTGGGAGCGCCAAAACGCGAAGGACGAACTGATGGGTACCAGAGTTGATATGGGCTATGGCCTCTACTACACCGCACTCACGATGGCGGCGTTCGAGGATATGTTGTTTTACAAAGTGCGTTGGGGAATGGAGGAACCGATGAGCTGGGGCAAAGACTCTGGCTGTGGTCTGCTAAAGGCGCGGTGCGAGGCACCTAACTGCCCGAATATGTTCTGCGACAGGAATGAATTTACCCGCTGCACATCGGATCGCCATTCCGTTGGGGCTTGTGTTCGTGATTATGTGGACATAGCGATAGAAGCATATAATATTGTTGAGCCTTTTTCAAAAGGGTATAACGACAGGTACCTCAGGTTCATGGATTGCGCCAAGGAGAGTGAATTTAAACTTAGTGGGTCGCTTACCCACGAAGACTCGTGGTGCCTGGATGCGGAGTCGCTAACGGTGAAGGATGTGGGCAAGAAGGACATTGAGGTTGCTGGCGTGTGTGCGAAGGTGCGGTGCACTGACGATGCGGTGGAGGTGCAGTACCGCGGCAGCAACGAGTGGCACAAATGTCCCGAGGGCAACAAAATCACACCGAATTCTGATTCCTTCACGGGCGGCAGCATCAAATGCCCCAGGTACACCGAGGTGTGCACCATCGCCGCCAACGGCAGCAGCCTCGTTGTCCCCAAAATTGTCTCTCCAGCCGGGTCTACAACTGGGTCTCAAGCTGTCTCTCCAACCGGGTCAACAACTGCGTCTCAAGCTGTCTCTCCAGCCGGGTCTACAACTGCGTCTCAAGCTGTCTCTCCAACCGGGTCTTCAGGTCTTTCACCATCCCCCACAGAAAACGGTTTGCCCGTTGGTGCCCCGAAGCCTTCTTCCACTGTGGTTGGAGTGACGGAGGGCAACAAGGGGAACACCGAAAATGGTGCATCCATTGGGAGTACCAATCCTACTGCTCCGTCGTCTCCCACGCAAGATTCGCCCATCGACGACGTTTCCAACGTATATGACAACATGATACCCACGGGGCAAGGCGGCGATGGTACAGTGGCTGCTGTACGTTTCGGTCCCCTTGTGCTCCTCGCGGTGGCCGCTGCTGCGGCGGAGATGCCTCTGTGAGGAGTTGCTGGGGGCGTGCCGTGCGGCTGGGCTGAAAACGGGCAATTGGTGTGGCCCGCAGCCGGCAGTGCACGCGCCCGTTTGGGTGTGGGCTACTTAATTCGCATTGCACCCCTCTTTTTCCTTGCTCGGAATAGGAAAAATGGTATACATTTCCCCTTCTATGCTTGCTTCGTATTGGGAAGACGATACGACTCACTTGTTGGGCACCTTCTTAATACGCTCTATATCCAGTGTTTCATGAGAGAATTTTTGTCTTTTTTTTTTTTTGGGGGGGGGGGTGGCAGAGGGAACTTGCGTGAAGCGCTGTGTGCTTGGAAAAAGAAGCCACGGATGATTGGTGAATTTTGTTTCTGAATGCGACATGCATATCCTTGATGACCTTCTTTGCTTTCGCTTCACGAAGGGTGTGTGTGTGTGTGTCTTTGTGAGGTGGCCTCTTCAGAAAAAATAATCATACGAGTGGAATGGTGGGATGGGTGGATTACGGCATTTGCTTCGGCTTCGCCTAATATACACTTTTTTTGTTATTTGCCTGGAATTGACATGCATTGAGGTGGGACTGTGGAGCCTTGCCTTTGTGGTCTTTGCAGCCTCTCGCACCCGGTAGCGTGCTGTGTGTTGCTCCTTTGATACTGTGTCGTAGTTAGCGCAAGGGATGATGGTCGCTGCCCTGTTGCCAGTCTGATGTGCGCGTGTGCGTTGCCGACTGGTACCTCCGCTTGGCACCGCGCACCGGCTGTGGAGTACGGCAACAAGGCTGCGTGGCTTTGGCGGCTGCGGCGACGCCCACACTGTGCATGCGGCTGCTGGGCGTGCTGCTGCCACGGCTTGGGGCCCGCTGCCGGAGCTTTGCCCTTCATCTGCTGGCTGCGTGTGTGCACACCGCCGGCGTTCCTCTCCTCCCTGCAGTGCCGACGGGTGTGGGGACAGGTGCATTCACCCCTTTGCCCCATTCTCCTGACAGTTTTTGCTTCTTCTTGGCAATCCAACAGGGAGTATACCCATCGACAGACACAATGCACCTGCATCTCCTTCCCTTGCTGCAGGTAATGATGTTGGTGATGAGGGGGTGGAGAAATTCTCAACTGCTGCACCGTATCTGAGTAGCAAGGGTGTCCTTTTTGTTCCTACTGCCTGTGGTCCAGAACAACAAAAGGGGTCTGCCTGCACCGCTTGTGGGCAGCAGTGCGTGGTGCCTGGATAAGGTGGCGTCGAGCTCAACGAAGGAGGGGGGGGGAGCGAGACCCCTCAGATTGTTGGTGGTGTGTGTGTGCACGTGTGAAGTGCGACGCCAGCAAGGTGCGGGTGCAGCTGGAGGGGAGGGGTGACACTACTGAGTGGCGCGAATGCACTGAGAACAGCACGATCGCGATAACAAATCCTCCTACCGGGAGTCGGAGTATTCTGTGCCCCAAGTTCGGCGAGGTGTGCCCCGTCAAGGCCGACGGCAGCAGCATTCTTGTTTCTGGATACGTGGAACCGACAAGGGCAGACGCACCTCCGCCGGAATCCCCAATTCCTGCAGGCAGGCCTGCCGCTGTGGAGGAAAAGGCGGAGGACACATTGACGCCTGGGGGCATGACGCCCCTTCTTGAGAAATCGTCTCCGGGCGTCGCTCCTCCCGGTGGGAAGGATGAGGAAAGTGTAACGCAGGAGAATGGTCGGCCTGCTGCGACAACGGTGGCCGTGCCGGACTTTTCTGTCGGCGGCACGGCCGAGCTACGGAAAAGTGACAGCAGCCACGCTGCTGCTGCTGCTGCTGCTGGCAGCGGCTCTCTTGTGCTTCTTGCCGCGGCCGTGGCGCTGCCTGTCTGAAGAAGCGGCCGGGAACACACCGCAGGGGCAGCAGCGTGCGCAATGCGGTGCCCAACGGGGGCCACAAACACAACGGTACACGGACAACGGCAGATTCCCATACATCACCCTTTCTTTTTTTTTTCGTGTTTACGCTGAGCAGTGGTAAACCCTTCCCTTCTTATCCTTGCTTCTTGAGCACAACGACACGGTTTTGTCGCCCAACACTCTGGACAAAGCAGGAAGCAATCCGCACCACCGGAGTGCATCTCTTTTCGGAGAGAGCCATGCAACATCGCAGGCATCAAGTGACACTGCGGCAGCGCACGGCTTCTGTCCTTCATCCCTCTG